GCACTAAAATAATGAGAGAGCAACTTATAAAATATTACAAAGCAGGGTGAAAAGATTAAAATGGCAGAAGACGTTTTTATTAGCTTTCTACATATCAAACTGGCACAAAGACCTGCAGTGACAGAGTTGAAGATGAGCCATATTTAAATCGAGGAAAATGTTATTCCTAATTAGTTTTTATTAGTGCATAATAAGAGATACCAGCATTAGGGCAAGCAATGGTCATTCATATTAAAAGTTTATCGGAAAGGAAACAGATGTATCATAATTTTTATTTCTTAAGTTTAAAACTTGCCTTAAACCTATTTTCACAATTTTATATGTCAGTATTTGAAATTGGCTGCTTTTAATGTTTTTATACAACGCCTTTTGGAGAAGACATAAGACATGTGGAATACTTTATAATCTAACATTCAATAAGAAACACAAATAGGAAATCTGGCCCTTTAAACCATGGAACAACTGTCTAGATAATGTTAAAATGGAGATTTGTTGGTAAATTTAACATTACCAGGAATTAGGACTCTTTCCCTGTCACCACTAGGCACATCAGATAGATATCTAAGGAGACATTCAAACTGACACTAGAGATTGATCAAGGAATATACTGTAGAGAGTCCACAGGGCACAGCAGTTGTCCTGAAGGCTGAATTTTGGGACCAGTTATTCCTTCATCAATATGTACTTAAATGAGTAATTAAGGGATCATGGTGGGACAGAGTCTAAACGAAGAAGATAACGGATGCTTAAAGGTGGGTTCAGCACATATTTATAGCTGGAGGAGTGAGGATAAATATTGCAATAGTATTATAGTTCAGGAAGGTTTAATTTGAAGATGAGGATAGAAGCATGGATGTCATATTGTGTCCCTTGTGACACTCAGATGAAACCATCAATAAAACATGCCCAGACTTCTATAATCCCTGATCTTTGACTCAATCTTTCAGTGCTGGTACTTGAGTAGCTTCATAATCCCCTGCTTGATTTCCTGGGTTCGTACTCCATAAACGATGGGGTTGAGGGCTGGTGGGATGAGGTGGTGCAGGACATTGAGAAGAATAGGTACCTCTGAGGGTACACTTTTTCCTGCTTTGTTTGTAAAGATGAAGACTAGCAGCAGTGTATAGAAGAAAAGTATAAGGATGAGATGGGAACCGCAAGTACTCAAAGCCTTGGTAGTGGCCCCCCCTGACTGCAGATGCATAACAGCCTTCAGAATGAAGCAGTAAGATAGCAAAATGAGCACCAGGTCTGAACCTAGTAGGCACCAAACACTCACAAACTGGTATAGCTTATTTAGGCGAATATCCCCACAGGAAAGTCTTGCTACAGAAATGTTGGCACAAATACAGTTCTCCACCACATTGCTGGCACAGTAGTTGAGCCTGGCAGCTAGAACTGGAGTGGGCAGTGTAGCTAGCAGATTGCGGAAGACAATGAAGATGGCTGCATTAATGACAAACTGTTCAGTGATGATGGACGGGTAGCGCAGTGGGTGGCAGATGGCCACATAGCGGTCATAGGCCATGACCAGGAAAGTGGAGGATTCCATGGGAAGGAAGGTATTCATGACGAACATCTGCAGAAAGCAGCCTGCAAAGCTGATGGGCTTCATGTTGAACCAGAAGATGAGCAGGACCTACCGGAATCATTATTTTCAAAAACCTTGTACATCTATTCCCCTTCTAGAGTACCCATCGCTTGGGAAAGCCCTTGAATAGGTTCAACTATCCATTTCCCCAAACTACAGTCCCATAATTCCTAGTGGTACCATATCCTCATCTCAAATACCTTCTACGTGCATTACGAGTGCCAGAGCCTGACTTTCCCTCCATCTAAAGACAAACCTTTAGTTTTAAAAATGTTTGTTTCTAGCCCTGTCCTCTCCTGAGCTCCATGGTTCTAACCCACACCCCAGGGGCACATCTGCCCAATACAGGATGTCTGTATCACAGGAACATCAAAACCAGTAAGTCCAATACTTATATTTGGACACCTTGTAATCCTTTTGTACACATAAGAAACTTCTTTCAACCATGCTTCCTATCTTAGTACATGACATAAACATAAATACAATTACATTTTAGAAAGTAAATCCTAGAGCCTTTGGGTATAGGAGTGAAATAATTCAGGGTCTAGGAGAATCTCCCTGAAACTAAAAAATTTGGAACTTGCAATATCACTAACTCAGACATTGAGAGAGGGCTTATTAGTAGGGAAATAATGAAAACTTAGAAAGACCTGGACATTAAGAATGAGAGGGGGCATATCTGGGAGCTGCAATGGACCTGGTGTGCTGGTTTGGGTGACTCATTAAGTATTTTCCTTCTAGAAGGAGAGGTCCTATAGTAGCAAAACAAGGTACTGTTTAGAGAAACATGGCTGAGTGCCTAAAAGAAAGTCCAGGGAGGGTCTCACCTTGGGGATGACTGTGAGGCAGAGGATGACGTCGAGCACGGAGAGGATGGCAAGCAGGTAGTACATGGGCTCATGCAGAGATGCCTCTTGCCGGATGGCGAGTAGCAACACAAAGTTGGCCCCAAGGGCCAAAACCAGGAGAGGAGCCAGGACAATAGATAGCCAGTGCTGTGTGTCCTGCATTCCTGGGAAGCAGATCATCAGGAATTCAGTCACCTGGGTTCCTGTGTTGTTGGGAGATGATACCATGACTGTCAGGTGAGGCTAAAAATGGCTGAAAGGAAAGAGGCATGAATTCAGGTTTGACTGTTTTGTTAATAACCTCCTAACTCATCTAGCTGCCTCCACTCTAGGCATGCAGGTTTGTCCACCATTTTATTGATATAATACTCTGTCTAAAGTTTAAATTGGGCCACATCACTCCCTGTTGAACAAATAATTTCCCTAGTACTCATAATGTTATGGATAAAGAATAATTCCCTCCACATGAGCATGTTCCAACTCTCGACAGATTCCGCAGTTCCTCCACACAAACAGATCCAGCCACACCTGTAGAACGTGCTTTGCTTTGTCCCATCTCTGTGTGTTTACGTGTGTCATATCCTTCTCTACTTTTCCCTCAAATAACTAACTTCTGCTTATCCCATTCTATCCATACCAAGAGTTACACTTCTTGGAAATGTTTTTCTTATTACTCATTTTAGATGCCTCTCCTTTCCATTGTTCCTCTATGATCCTTAAATACCTATTAATGCTATTAAAGCATAAATAAAATTTTCCCATATTCATCCATGTTTCCTATTTGTCTTTTAAAAAAATCTGTGCTCCCTCCACCAGGGATGGAATCTTATCTTTTTTATAGCACAGAGAAAATCACCAGGCACTTGGTGACATAATACACAGTCAGTAAGTGCAGTTCAGATGTATAATTCTGCTAGATTATTGAAAGCACCATGATGCCCTTGATGACGTCTCTCTATTATTTAGCATCTCCATATCCTGCTTTGCTATAAACCACTGGCACTCTTACTTAACACTTAAGAAAAAGTCTGGAAAAAAAAAACAAAAGGGAAAAAATAATTTAGTGGTAAAAAAAGAAATACAAAGCAACTTACTGGTGAGAAAAAATAAATACCAAAGACACCTGTGTAGTAGCTGTTTTGAGTATTTAGTAAGCAATTACTGGGTGGGGGTGGGGGGACTGCATTTCCTGGGGAAGGGAGAAGAAATGAGGAAATGAGGCCTCCAAGACAAGGAAAAAACTGAAGAAATACTTAAATATGCTCCAGAATATGAGGTTGCGCAGCAGACAGTGCCGGTTATCTGTGTCTTCCTAATTATCTAGGAACCTGCTGGTGAAGAAGTCTCCAGGTTTGGCTGTGTTCTCTCCTTTGAAGGAAAGAAAACATCACCTCTTATTGTTGGATTTTGGGGCATGTTGTTAGGATATAGGCACAAAAAACCTCTCAATCAAGGTTTGGTTCATTTTTTTTTTCTCAGATATATAAGGTGGGTTTCTCATCAGGATTTTTCTTATACCTAGACCAGTAGTTCTCAGATATGAGTGTGCGTAAGAATCACCTAGAGAGCTTGTTAAGACAAGTTTCTGAGCACAACCTAGTTCTCTAGGTCTGAGATGATTTGTCTTTCTAACCAGGTAATGCTGATACTGCTTACCAGGGACGACACTTGAGAATGACAAAGATATACCCAGTTGTGATAACTGACCCAAGTCCTGATTTAGACTACCTGTAATACAAGACTGCTGTCTCAGGTCAGCTAGTCTCAGGTCAAATATCAAATTGGCCACTTCTCCCATTATTTTCAGTTATTTAAGCATAACTCTGGCCAACCACTGGGACCTCCCAGTGTGAAAGCTATCTTCTTTCTATGGGCTGTCTGGGAGGTATCAATTGATCAACACATCACATAGTAGTAACATTCATCAGGTATTGGGCAGGTGGGACAGGAGGAGGGGATATGTATAGTCACACCTCATGGGTGCAGTGTGCACCGTCAGGGGGTAGACATGCTTGTAGCTCTCACTCAGGCATGTATGTAACCTAAACATTTGTACCCCCATAATATTCTAAAATAAAAATAAATAAATTCTATGGATTCTTTTTCATGATTTTCTCTCTCTTCTTGGGCCTATAGTTCTTAGCTACCTCAAAGCTCATTAAAGTCAAGGACAAGGTATCCTTTATTTTTCTTTCTGGCAATTGGCACAAATGGACACACTAACATTATGCCTCTAATAATCAAAGAAGGAATCCTCCTCTCCAGTCAGCCTCCCTGTCAGAGACAAACCTGAGCAGATCTTCCATGAGCTCAGCTGCCCCCCATTCTAATGTGTTCATGTTCTTCTGACATCAGTGATCTCCAGGGTCTTCACATATTAACATCTAGGGAGTGCAGTAATGTTCTCTGAAATAAACAATGAATTAAGTCAAAGAACAAACTCAAAATGTCCCTCGTGCTTGGCTTTCCAATGTATTGTTCTCAAAAATACTTACAAACAAGGTCCGCTCAAAATAGCAGTTTTGCATCCAGTAGCAATGTCTGACTCCTCAACCTCTCACTGGCACTATATGTGGTTTTGGCCCCTGGATGACTTTATGAGAATGCATCTCTATAGTAGCCATTCTCCTGTGGCTGGAAAGACAAAGAGTTGGGATTCCTATTCCCAAGGAGCTCCTGTCTCCTTTCAGGTACACAAATATTTCCAGTGTAAAAAGGGAAATTTATGCACTTAAATTCAGATGAAGTGAAAGAGTAGTAATCAGCTTACAGTCTCCCTTGAGGTGAATGAGAGTTACATAAACTGAAATGTGTTATTTGCAATGGAAGGGAGATCACTCAGGAACATGGAAGCTGTATCTAAGAGATCCTTTAAGAAGATAAATGTTATTAGACTTATAAAACTGATTTCATCTTACATACAAGCTGAGTTCTTGAAAAACTTTTAAAATTAGTAGTTTATGATGATTTATTTTGTCATTGATTTTTAGTAAGCTTTAAAAATATCTTCACATTGGGCAAAATATGTCACTTAAAGGAAAACAACTATACAGAATCCTGAGCCTTTATTTAAAGTGGATCCATTTAATTAGATTGTAAGTCTATTATATAAGTTTTATTTATAGCATTATCACCAAAAGAATAGTAAAAAAATGCATAAAATTTCAATTATCCAAAATAAGACAAGAAAGTATGAAGGAGGAATGTAAATATATAAATAATAAAATGGTAGCTATAAAATAATCCTTGATTGCATTTATGTAAATGGACCAAGTATTCCAAGTAAAAGGCTAAGATTGTCAAATTGAAAATATCCATGTTGCTTACAAAAGATATACCTTAAATATAAGCACTCAGAATCATTAAAATCAAAATAATAGGAAAAAAACTATCACAGAAACACTAACCAGGAGAATTTCAGGTAAATAAACTTATCTGATTAATTGAAGCATTAAGGTAAGAAACATTACTAAAGCGGAATATTTTATAGTAATAAAGTGATTATAATGATGAATTGGAAGACATAATATCACAGCTTCCATTAAAATAAAGCAAAATTGACAGAAACAAAAGGAGAACTAAATTCACAATCATGGTGAGAGATTTGAACATATCTCCTGAAAGATGATAGATCAAAAAATAAAAAGAAAATCCATATAGATGCAAAAGATCACAACAACATAATTAACAAACTTAACCCAACTGACATGTATAAAACATAGCACCCAATAGCAATATGATTAATATTCTTTCCAAGTGTATCTAAAACACCCAAACCAAATAAATATTGAAATATAAAAAAGCCTCAACAAATTGTAAGCTATTAAAATTGTTCAGAATATGTTTTCTGACCACAGTGGAATTAATCTATGAATCAATAATAACAATGTCTCTAAAAAACCCACACTTCAGAAAAATTGAAAAATACACATCTAAGTAATCTATTGGTTAAAGAAAACATAAATGAAAATTATAAAATATTTTGAACTGATGATAATAAATATACAACATATGCTACTTTATAGGATGTGGAAAATGGAGTGCATAGAAAGAAATGCACAGATGTATCTTGATTTATGATGGGATTATGTCCCACTAAACCCATTGTAAGTTGAAAATACCACTAAGTCAAAAATGCACTTACTACATCTAACCTAGAAGGCATCATAGCTTAGCCTAGCCTACTTTAAATGTGCTCAGAACGGTCACATTAACCTACAGATGGGTAAAATCACCTAACACAAAGTGTATCTTATAATTATCTTGAATAGTTCATGTAATTTATTGAATACTATACTGAAAATGAAAAACAGAATGATTGCATGATGCTCCAAGTATACTTTCTACTGAATGCATATCACTTTTGCACCATTGTAAAGCTGAAAAGTTGTAAGTTGAGCTATTGTAAGTCAGGGACCACTTGCAAAGTCAAATATATATACATATATGTATATTATATATAACATTTAACATATTAATATTTAATGTATTACATACCATAAAGTTAAATATTTTATATACAAATTAAAAGAATAAAGGATAAAAATCAGTATGTATGCAATCTTTATTTAAAAAGGACAAATCAAGAAAACAGGAGAATCAGAACAGAGCATCAGGGAAAAACTGAGTGGTGGTGAGGCAGAATCTGAACTCATTTCATCTGTGTCATATGTTTTTGTTCATTTGGTAGCTGCTATTCCAAATGATTCGCCTCCTTAGGTAGAAGATGTGGGACAAGGGAGTGAGCTTCCCAAGAAGTGGGCAGAACTGGCCACTTGGCTATAAAAGGACACTTGGTCAAATGGTTGAGAGCCTGACTGAGCTGTAGTTCTCTGTGATTGATTCCTTGACCATCCGTCAGCCTGAGTCACTAATTCCACATGTTTTCTCCAACACACAGGTGAAGTGTCGCCTCTTACGGATGAGTGTTTCTGTGTACAGTCCCATTACCACAACAGCTGTGGGAGGAGAAGCAGAGTCCTAAATATTACAGAAGTAATTTTTTATCCCTTTCCTCAACTGTCTCCATGTGGGCTCTGATTTTAGACTAATCCTCATCCTGCCTCAACTAGCCCAGCTCCAGGCACAACTCTACTCAGCTTTAGACATCAAATTGACCACTGTTCTCATCACTTAAGCACTAGCCTCTCCCTGTCCTTGTTTCCCAAAGTTGGGCAAACTCTTCCTCCAAAAAAGGCTTTAAGCTCTACAACAATCTTCTCACAGTTTTAGCTTTGTGCCTAGAGCTGTAGATCTCAAAGTAACTCTCCTTGGGTAATATCAGAGCTCATGAGAAAAAATGACAAAGCCTTACCCATTTTTTAACCCTCATCATCTATCACAGGTTAAAAAAAAGAAAGAAAAGAAATTCTGATACTTATATCTCCAGGCAAAATTGAATAATAATCCTCTTAACCCAGGCTTTCCATTCAGTCTCCTTTCTAGACTCAATTATTTCTTTCTGCTTCTTTCTTCTCTCTTTTTTTTCTTTTCTTCTTCTTCTTCTTTTTTATAACCCAGAACCACACCCAAGAAGCCTTGAGCAAGTGGACTCCAATTATGTCTTTCTGATCTTAGTATCTCTGGGTCCTCAAAAACCAATATCTAGGGAGTACATTCTCATTCTGTTATATAAGCAATGGAACAAAAGCCCTAACACAACGTATTATTTCTATTAAACCTTTAAATAGATGTTTCACAAAGGTACCTATGTAAAGTGTTCTCCAAGCTATTGTCTTATTCAGTCAATAGTCTGCAACTAGAACGTGATTCCTCAACTTCTCACTGACCTATGCTCATGGCTGGGGACTACAAAATTGCCGTAATCATAATATTGCCTCTCCTATAGGTCAAAAGATACAAAAATGCTTTGGGTTTGCTGTCTTCATGGTCCCCATTCTCTATAGTCATGCACCTGCACAAATATACCTACCTGCCTAAGCCTACACTTCCGAAGTTGAAGGTGAGATGTATGCATTTAAATAGAAAGAGAAAATAGGGGCTTATACCACTTCTCCCAGAGCATCTTAAAATTTCACAAATTTGAGCATTTTTGTAATAGAGAGAGATATCAGATATTTAGGACTATGTTCTCTTATAACATACACTCCTACCACATTCTATTATACTATATACATCATTCCACATGTCATTCCATTCTACATTTCACATTTTATTAATCTATCCCATAAACATTTACTAAATGTCTTTTATGATTTTTATTCTACTTGACTACATAGGAAATGAAAAAATGAGTGAAACACGTAGTGACCTAATAGAACTTATAAGACAATGAAGAAAGTACATCATAGGAGAAGAGGAAATTATTTGGACAGGGAAGTGAGAAATATACCTCTTTTAGAGTTATCAAGCCTGCAAGATCCTAATTGAGATATTACTAAAAATTACTGAAGTTACCACTGGAATTTTAATTCATATAAAGTATTTCCATATGAGCCCAAACATAAAATTACAAACAAGTAAAAGAAACACTTTTTAAAATCTCAAACAAAAACAGAGACCTTCTCTTCCTAATAACTAATGGATTAAGCTAATTTTGAATACCTATTTAGCAAAGATTCCTTAGAGAAAATTTCAAGAGGACTGTAAATTTGATGAGTTCAAAATCCCTATAGATATGAAATTCAAGGTATCCAGGAATCAGAAAAGTGATGGCCAAAATGGATAATCTGTCAAATTTATTGTGTGTGTTTTTCAAGAGAAATTATAAAGCATTTGAAACTGCACACATGGTAGTAAAATTCAACAGAAATCAAGCAGGTGGGAGGGTGGAGAGGATGGGTAAATTCACACCTAACAGGTACAGTGCATGCTATCTGGGCAATGGACACAATTAAACTTTGACTCTAACTTTACAAAAGCAATTCATATAGCCAAAACGTTTGTACTCCTGTAATATTCTGAAATAAAAAATAATATTAATAAAAATAAAAAGTTATGGAAGAAGCAAGTGCTTCTCCAGGACACGTGAGTATGTGTGTAACAAAACCAAAATAATCTCCAGATAAGTGTTAGTCTCATGGTCATGTTGTAAGTCTTCTTGAATTCCAGTAAAACATCCTCTACATAAGAAAAAAAAAGAATTTGAAACTTTCTAACTTAAAAAAGAGAGATGAAAAGAAACAGGAATATTAATAGTAACATGACAAATTGTAGAGATATGTGTAGCAAATCTATGCACATACATCTCTCAATGGCTGATTAGAGATCTCATATTTTTCTTATTCTCTGTTCACTGACAGCCTCTAACCTTTTATTGTGAAGAATAGTGCTTTTCGTCTGAATCCATTTTAACTAGACTGTGAGCCAACTGTCAATATCTAAATTGAGGCATCAGGACTAAGATTTTAATAGATGATGTAAAACAAGGAACAACTAAGGGTGCAGCAGCCTAGCACCATGGGCCTCAAACAGGAAAGATTTTATAAAAGAGGAAGGACAATAACTAAGAAATTGTGCTGGGGACTAAGAACGACACATGGTACAGGGCCGTTAAGTCTCTGAAATGCATGGTATATAAAATAAGGAAGAGTACCCTCTATTTTTTGTTTTTAAATTTTATTTATTATAAATAATAAAAATAAAAGTAATCTTTTTGCTTTTTTATCAGATAACATGATGTTTTGAAGTGTATACACATTGCAGAATGCTTAAATCTAGCTAATTAACAAATGTATTCACTTGATATAATTATCATTTCTTGGTGAGAATGCTTAATATCCACTCTCTTTGGGTTTTTCAAGAATGCAATGTATCATCATTTACTATAGTCACCATGCTGTACAATAGATCTCTTGAACTTATCTCTGCTATCTAATTGTAATTGTGTATCTTTTGAACAGCATCAAGCTACTGCCTTCCTCCTCCCTAATCACCCCAGACTCTGGCAGCAACATTCTACTCTCTACTTCTATAAGATCAATCTTTTTAACTTGTTCTACTATATATATATATATATATACATATATATATATATGTTTGTTTTTAATTATTGTGAGTACATAATAGTTGTATATCTTTATAGGGTACATGCGATGTTTTGATATAGGTATACAATGTGAATTAATCAAATCAGGGTAATTGGGGTAGCCATCATCTCAGGCATTTTTCATTTCTTTGTGTTAGGAACATTCAAATTCCACTCCTTTAGTTATTTTAAAGTATATCCTAACTTATTGTTGATTATAGTCATTCTGTTGTACTATAAAATATTGTTCATTCTTTCTGACTATATAACTGTATTTTGTACCCATTAACTATCCCCACTTTATCCCCCACTTCCTACTCTCCTTCCCAGCCTCTGGCAACCACCATATTAAACTCTGTCTCCATGAGATCAATTGTTTTAAAATTTAGTTCCCACACAGGAGTGAGAAGATGTGAGATTTGTCTTTCTGTGCTTGCCTTATCTCACTTAAAATAATATTCTCCAGTTCTATACATCCAAGTTGTTGCAAATGAAAGGATTTTTATTCTTTTTGTGTCTGTATAATATTCCATTGTGAATATGTACCACAATTTCTTTATCTATTCATCTATTGATGGACACTTAGGTTGATTCCAAACCTTGGCTATTGTGAATAGTGCTACAATAAACATGAGAGTGCAGATATCTTTTCAACATACTGAATTTCCCTCTTTTGGATATATACCCACCAGTGGGATTGCTGAATCATATGGTAGCTGTATTTTTAGTTTTTTGAGGAGCCTTCATACTATTCTCTATAGTGGTTGCATAGACATTCCCCACCAACAATGTACAAGGGTTTCCTTTTCTTCACATCCTTTCCAGCGTTTATAATCACCTGTCATTTTGATAAAAGCTATTTTAATCAAAGTGAGATGATATCTCATTATGGTTTTGATTTGCCTTTCTCTGATGACTAATGATGTTGAGCATTTTTTCATACACCTGTTGGTCTTTAAATGTCTCCTTTTGAGAAATGGCTATTCAGTTCCTTTGTCCATTGTTTAATCGGATTATTTATTTTTTTCCAGTTGAGTGGTTAGAGTTCCTTATATATTCTAGTTATTAGTCCTTTGTCAGATGAGTAGTTAGAAAATATATTTTCCCATTCTGTGGGCTGTCTCTTCCCTTTGTTGATTGTTTCCTTTGCTGTGCAGAAGCTTTTTAACTTGATGTGATCCCATTTGTCCAATTTTGATTTGGTTGCCTGTGCTTTGGGGGTATTACTTAAGAAGTCCTTGCCTAGACCAATGTCCTGAAACATTTTCCCAAAGTTTTCTTTCAGTAGTTTCATAGTTTCAAATACTTATATTTAAGTCTTTATACCATTTTGATTTGGTTTTTGTATATGACAAGAGATAATGGTTTAGTTTAATTCTTCTGCATATGGATATCCAGTTTTCCCAGCACCAAGATGTGCATATATTTATTCACTTTTATTCACCAAAAATAACTACAATATGTAAAACATTGTATTAGCAGCTATAAAATATATAAAGTTGAAAAGATGAATAAAACTCTCCACCAGACTCAGAGAAGTTTATAATCTAGTATCAAAAGGAGATATACAAATGACTCAAGATGGTCAGATTAATTGCACTGGGGTAAAAAAAGGAGGCACTGTGGATTATTCAGAGTTTAAACTGAGACTTGTAGGATGGGCATAGTTTTTCAAGTGAAGACACTAGTGTTAGGTTTTCTATGTGGTAGAGGATGCTTAAGCATACACTTTAAGAAAAAATTGGGGGGGTGGTGACAAATCTGGATAAAATGAGCTAGGAACTGACATGAACAATGAGTGAATGGAAGAATGTTTGAGAAATTTGTATTTTGGTTAGGATCAGTCTTTAATGTTGTGAAACAAAGAAGAGAGAGGTCAAAGCTATTATTTTGATGAAAGACAATACTATAGAAATGATAAATCAGTCTATAAGTCCAGGAATAATTAGGTCATTATAGATGAGCTATATTAGGAGGTATCTCAAATGACTCTTATAATATCCATGAAGTTCTCAACTGCTATCCAAAAAGGGGACTGGCTATTAATATAAATTAATCCCAGGAAATGGTCACTATACACTCCCCACCATTTCCAGAGCATTATCAGGATAAAAAAAAGTGCAAAGAGTAAAACACACTTATCTTTGTTCCACAAACTCACTAATTCAGATGCCTGAATCATATGGGAAACTACTCTGGCATGAAGACAAAATGTGAGGATTGACACAACAGGGCTGAAAGTAGGATGAGAAAGACAATTTAACTGTATATCTAAGACAAGCAGGAAAGTGTAAGGATACAGATAGCACCAGAAATCTGATGGAAAAGTTAAGTAAAATAGCATGAAGTCAGAAACTGGTAAAGTACATCTTAAAAAAAAAAAAAAAAGACACAGAGTTTCACTTAAAACATACATACACATAAATATGAGTCACCTTAAAATTTTTAAAAATCACAAGGAAGAAGGAAAGAATTAAAGGAAATTCTTATTCCAGAGCAGGAGCATTAGATAAGAGTATTAGCAAGATTTCTAGGAGATAGGGAAGGCAGTGAATGGCACATGTCATTCACTCTACATAAGAATCAAAATTCTGCAGTCAGCATATATATCCCCATAAGAGATCCATTTATGGCAGAAAACCAGGTTGATCTGTGTCAGGTAGAAACAAGAGATCTCTAACACATACGTACGTATTAGACAAGTTGGGAGATTGAGAAGCATTTAAAATAATTGCAATGGAATTTATTCTTTATTTGACAAACTATACCATTCTAAGATCCTATAATTATAGCTTGGCAATTTTCTCTCACATAGATGACACCAGGAAAAACTTCCAGGTAATTCCAGAATGCAAAAAGCTAAGGTTCCAGTTAGTGCAATAAAAAGCAGGAGCCAAGATACAGGTATCCCCATAATCAACTGAAACATGGAGGAGAACAAAATTTAAAGTTACTCCTGCAGAAACAATTTAAATTTTCTATGCATCATAAAAATTATTACCCATTACCAATTTCTGTTTCCAAGTTCAGGCCTCAACATTATACTTCTTACAATCTTCTCAGCAGTTTCTGTATTCCCTGCTTGATCTCCTTGGTTCTCACACCATAAACAATGGGGTTCAGAGCTGGAGGGATGAGGTGGTGCAGGATGTTGAGCAGGATGGGGACATCTGGAGGGATTCTCTTCCTGGCCAGGTTAGTGATGACCAGAACCAGCAGGACTGTGCTGAAGAAGAGGATGAGGATGAAGTGAGAACCACAAGTGCTGAGAGCTTTGGCCATAGCTCCCTCAGCCTTGATCCTTAGCACAGTTTTCAAGATCAAAGAATAAGAGAGAACAATAAGGACAAGATCAGAGCCCAGCAGAGTCCAACCTATAACAAATTGGTAGAGTTGATTGAAAGTGATGTCATCGCAAGAGAGTTTGGACACAGACATGTTAGTACAGATGCAGTTCTTGATCACATTTCCTGCACAGTATCTGAGTTGGGAGGAAAGTATGGGGATAGGCATAGTAAGAAGGCCATTCCGGGCCACAATAAAGATGGCAGCCTTAACCACAAACTGGTCAGTGATGATGGAGGTATACCGTAGAGGGTGGCAGATGGCCACATAGCGGTCATAGGCCATGACCATGAATGTGCAGGACTCCATGGTCAGGAAACTGTTCATGATGTACATCTGGAGGAAGCAGGCAGAGAAACTGATGAGTCTGAGGTCAAACCAGAAGATGGCCAGGACCTTGGGGATGACGGTGAGGCAGAGCACAATGTCCAGCAGGGAGAGGAGGCTGAGCAGGTAGTACATGGGCTGGTGCAGAGCGGCCTCCAGCCTGATGGTCAGCAGGAGGGTGGCGTTGGCCCCCATGGCCAGGAGGAAGAGGAGGCTGAGAGGCAGGGACAGCCAGTGCTGCCAACTCTGGAAGTTGGGGAAGCAGATGAGGAGGAATTCAGAGACTGGGGCAGTGGAGTAGTTGCTGGCTAATGTCATGAAAAAAAATTGTAAGCTGAGGAAATTTCACCTGGGTTTGTGTATGATAAAACATAGGAACATAGATAAAACATTAAGTCAATAGAAAACAAAACTGTCAAAATATTTGCCAACACTTTCTCATCCAGAAAATTGATAAGATATAGAAGACCAATCCCAAATGAAGGCAAAGATCAGCAAATATTAATATGAGTGGAAGAGGGTTTAGTAAACTATTTCTGAAGTAATTTAAGAAAAACAAATAAACTAGAACATAAAGGTTTAGAAGGAAAATGATGAGAATAGTCACCTGATTAAAACATCTACAAAGTTTCAATAATTTTTCCAAGTAGTATTGACAAATCAAAATGACTAATTATGGATTCCATAGGCCAGAAATGCTCATTAGTTTACAGATTAGTCTAGAATAATAAATATGTCATAAAATTATATTTAACTATAGGGTCCTTTCAGGAAGTATTGTTGTCCTAACTTATTGGATGAGAGTAAGAAATTAGTTTTTTCCTCAATTTTTTATCAGACACCAAAATAAATTTGAGATGGCAAAATTTATGATATACTCCAAATCCTATTATAAACTAGAGAAAAATGAAAGTAAACATTCACTAAATATAAATAGTATCTCTCAAACCTCCTATTATTCTGACTTATTGCATTTTGGGCACCACCCATCTTGTACATACTTAATTCAAGCGTGCACAAGTGCAATTCAATGTTCCTATAAAAAATTATGTTCAAAGGTGGGCTGTTTTCATTAAAAATCTTAACTACCAACCTCAAATAAGCACTTAATATCCATGTTCATTACAATAACTTTCTCTGGTTCATTAATTCTTCCACTCATTTCAAGGAATTTTTCAAATTTTCTAAATTCTTTTCAAATGCTAAATCTTCTCTCCTCTCAGATAACCTCTCCAACTGATTCACAAAGATACCAGAAACATCAGATGCAAGTTCCTCAATTTCCCATGACAGACTCATAAACCCATCAATATCCATATCCTTGTTTTCCTCTTTGGAGAAGTAAAATCAAGGATCTATGCCTAATGGCAATCCCTCTGCCTCTAATTTGGATTCTCTCTACCTGAACCTTCCTAGGAACTTTGACTTATGAATTATCCAGTCCATTCCTTGTGCATTCAACCTCTTCTAGATCCTTCCCATGGATATTCAAAATATTCAAATCTCTCATATCTTAATAAAATTTTTCATAATATACCACCTTACCCCTGTCAGAATAACCATTATTAAAAAGTCAAACAATAACAGATAGTAGCATGAATACAGAGAAAAATGAATGCTTATACATCGTTGGTGGGACTGCAAACTAGCATGACTCCTATGGAAAATAGTAAAGATTACTCAAAGCACTAAAAATAGAGCTACCATTCAATCCAGCAATCCCACTACTGGGTATCTACCCAAAGGAAAAGAAATCATTTTATTAAAAAGATACCTATACTTGAATGTTTATAGCAGCACAATTGTAAATATATTGAATCAACCTAATTGCCTACCAATTCATGAGTGGAAAGAAAATGTGGGATATATATACCATGGAATACTACTCAGCCAAAAAAAGGAATGAAAGTACTTCTTTTGCAGCAACCTGGGTGGAATTGGAGTCCATTATCCTAAGTAAAGTATCTCAGCAGTGGAAAAACAAGCACCATATGTTCTCACTAATAGGTGAGAGCTAAACAGTGGATATACATGGCCACAAAGAGACATAAAGAACATTGAAAACTAAGAAGGTGGGAGGGTAGAAGGGGGGTCTGGGATGAAAACTTACCTATCAGATATAATGAACACTGTCCTGGTGATGGGCACACTCATAGCCCTGCCTTCAGCATTATATGGTATATCTGTGTAACAAAATCATTTATACACCCTTAATATTTTGTAATAAAAATAAATAAATAAATAAATTTCTTCATCTATCCCACATCCCCATTTAGTGTAAACACCATTAGGTGAATACACTAAATATCTTTCTTCTCCTCTTTTACACCCAAACTTAAGGGACCAAAAGAGGCAAAGGACATCTAAAAGGGGACCAGTGACTGTTAGCTTCAGTAGTCCATTTGAGAAGTGATCACTGTGTCAATAAATGGCTCTGGGATGGCTCTAGCATAAAAAAATGGGACAACTTTTAGACGTATAAATATAATGACATAAACAGAGATTAGGCTGATTAATTGTGCAGAAGAGAAGGTAGGAATTCTAAAATTGCACCGCCTGTTCTGACTTAAATGACTAAGTAAATTTCACAAGACAAGCAGTAATCTTTGACAAGACTTGATGATGTATGTTATGGAAGCAGAAATGATAGACCAGTTTTGATATGCTGCATTTATGAGATCTGTAAACTATCAAAATATATATGACAGGAAATGTTGGAGAAAGCAGTTTGACTTCACTTGAAAGCTCAAAGTTAGAGATAAAGAACTGGACGTCATCAGCACATGGTGTGTAGTTCAAACCATAGGACTTAAATTTATTTAAGGAGAATATGTAGATTAAAAGACAAAAAATGTATAACAATGGGGCCCTAAGAAACATCTACCCTTATGCTGAGATCAAGAGAGGTAAAGAAATGCCAAAAGAGACCTAAAAGGAATGACCAGAGACATAAGCAAAAATCAAATGGAGTGGCCAGTTGTGTCTACATAAAGAATTTCAATAATATGGGGAAAGAAATTATCCTTTGCATCTGGCAATTAGATAATCACTGAGAGAAGAGCAAGAAAAGTTCAGTGGGAAGAGAGAAACAGAAAGGAGCCAACAGTACTTGAGTGTATGGACACAGGGAAGACTGCCCAGCTTGGTGGAAACTTCACTTTGAAAAACAGCATTACTTGAAGGGAAAATTGAATGCAGAGGCAGAAATGCATATGTTAAAGTAGGGATTTTTTAATAAAGGAAATTTGAATATATTTAAACTAAGGGGCAAAAGATTGTAGAAAGAAAAATATTGCTGATAAAGAGGAGAAAATAATTAAAGGAACAGCCCTTGAGGGAACAATGACTATTACTATTTAAATACTGTGTAAAACACATCACTGTTTGACTTTCTCGCCTCTCTTTTCCTAATCCACTGTAAAATCTCTGAAGTACAATAGAACATATTTTCTATCCTTATATCCCATACTATCTTTAGAACTCAATAAATCCTTAATAAGTGCTAGTATAATAAATGTTTCAATTTTTAGAGTATTAAGTTTTAGTTTAAAGCTTTAAAAAATAGAAAAATAAATAGAAAAATATTAACCAAGGGCCCAAGGTAACTGATGGAGGAATTGAGCCAAGCCACAGGAAGAAGCTCTGATAGAGAACTGTGGGCTGTGGAACTGATAGAGAGAACTGATAGAGAGCTGTGGGCCAGAGGTAGGGATAGTGGTAGCACAACGTTCTTGCTGAAGCTTAGGGACTTTAAATAAGGCATTCCAACTAATACCAATTAAGGGCCCTCTGGCCCCAAAAGCCTAGCCCTTGGTCTGTGGGAAAATCTCATTCAGTCCTCTGATCTACTAGGTCTTTTGCCTCCATATAAAGACCCTAGTATTTCCTTCTTTATGAAAAAAAAAAAATGTCTAAGGTCTGTTACAATCCCTCATTGCAAACAATATGCCATCACCTGAGCTGTCCTTATTCCTCACCTCTGCCATTCTCCTTTCCTGTCTGATTCCAGTATCTCTGAGAGATCCCCTCTCTAACTCCTTGCTCTTTTTACCCCCTCTATGTTTAGTCCCCATCTTTGATCATGCTTCACAATTCCCAGTCCCTAATCCATCCTCTTCCCTGTCCTTTTTCCTTCCTCACATTGTGGAGAACTATTCTGATTAGGCTCATTCTCTGCTCCCGAGATTTTACTAACAAGAGTGTACTTTATAAAGCATAATAGAGGAGGGTATAAAAAGGAATAGATGTGGAAGAAAGTGGTTAGATACCTTGATGTATTGTCAAATAGATGTATAGACATAAATATGAATTGAATGTTTGAAATACACAGTTGATAGGAACTATTAGAAACTTATACTATACTAACAGAAGTAACAGTGATCAGGGTGAAACTGATCATTTCTGTTCTACTTTGCTCTGGTTCAACCCACACTTAAAATAGTGTTTCCAGTTCAGTGTATCTTGATTTAAAGAACATTTTTGAAACTGTACCACATATAAAAAGACATCTAGGATAAAGATGACATTAAAAACTCATTGTGAGAAATATTTTAGGCAACTGTAGATATTTTAAGTAAGTGATGCCTTCTGAATATATGATTCAAGTAGAAGAGGAAAAAAAAACTAGGGCCGTTAGAGGAAGATAAGTCTGTTTCTGTTGGCTATAAGTCCTGTCTATTAATCAGAGGAATATTTCTGTCCTGCTGACACTAGAACACATTGGTAGAAAGCAATAAGCACATTTCCTCACCATCTATTTCTTCCCTGTGCCTCATGGACCTGGGTGTCCCATGTCATATTAAACTCAAAATGCTGTTTCTGTCCCAGAACTATACTTTCCCTCTCTTAAATCCCTAGACTGTTATTCAGAGCACACTTGCACGAAGTTCTCAGCCATAGAACACATGGGATCCCTTGTATTCAATGATACAGGATTACTGAGAATATAGAAGAGTCCCTTCCAGGAGAAACCTAGGATTTCTAAACATTCATGCATCCAGTACCATAATTCATGGAATTCTTTTTTCATGGGAGCCAATATAAGAATGAAGAGAAAGTCTCCTGTTCTGACTCTTCTGGTGACCCAGAGGCAGCTGGCCCGACACAGCATTGCTCCCCTCCCTTAGCCCTGGAACTCACAGAAGATGCAACAGATTAGGTCCCACTAGAGAAGTCAGCTGCCTGAATCCAGTAACCAGAGCTGCAACTGCCTCAGAATCTACAGGGTTTTATGATCTACAGTCAATTCCTGACACTATCCCACACCCTTCTCCAAGCCATTTGGGAGTAGTAGTTTGGGATACTGAGACGCAGCAGCTGATGGATCTCATGAGGACCTTCATCTTACCTAATGTTACAGTGCTACTAGGTGCCAGTAGTTGAAATATGGGGGAAAGAATTTGAAACCTAGTTAAAATTCAAATCTGTATC